CGACCACACCTACCCAAGTACACTTCGCTGCAGTAGAAGAAACTCTCTAACTTCTTCCTTTCTTCTTCCTTTGCTCTCTTACTCCCGCGTCTTTAAGGAGCAACCTTCATTTCCGGAATACAATAGTCCCATTTCCATATAAGGTATGGCACCGACGGAAAGGTCTGTCACCGCCCCGAGCTGCATGCTGCAGCGAAGTGTACCTCAGCTCTGCAGCACCGTAACCATGGCGCTTTTTTTCAACGAACTTTATTTAGACTGTCAAAGAATACAAAAAGACAAGAGGCCAGCATAATAATGAGCACTGATCTCTGATTTTTATTGTATGAAAAACGTGTAATTTCGTAATATTGTTACAGGAAATATGCTTTATTTAACAGGTAATGAATGTGATGTGGAGCAAAATGCAAATAAAACAACATAAAATAAAGCTAAAAACATAGCATGCTAAGCTAAAAACAAATCACGGTTAGCATGCTAAGCAACAAACAGACTCAGCTAAACAGGTTCTGGTTAGAGACGAGGGATGGGGGAAGATACAGTAATATCAAGATTAAGATTTGGACATACTGGGTTAAACTGTATATTATTTAAAATAGGAAAAAGTGATACAGAAAAATGTGAATTTTGTGATTTGGAAGAAACAGTTGAACACGTTATGATACTGTAAAAAATACAATAAAGACAGGCATATTCTTATACGAAATTTGGAAAAACTTAAAATAAGATACAGACTATCAGAAGTGCTAGTAATACAGAGATGCTATCCATTTATAATCCAGTTTTTACGAAGTGATAAGTTATTTGGAAGGATATAAATTAATTAACCAGTAACAGAATTATTTGTTTGTTTTTAAGAATCTCGATCCACACTCCTTACCAGTTGGTGGCGGTAAAACACCATTAAGTTGTCAACCGCCAATAAAAAAAACAGAAGAAGAAGAAGAAGAAGAAGGTTCTGGTTAGCTAGCTTAAACCGCTAACATCATCCCAGCAACTACAAACCTGTTATGAGCAGTTCATTGCTGGAGTTGCAAAGCGCAAACAGCCTTATGGACTTCGTTCATTTCTCCATCCGAACCTGTTGACGGGACTGATGGGACTCTGGACCCGAAGCTTCCGAACCCTCCTAGCAGCCAGGGAGGACTGTGGTAGACAAGAGGACCGAGTCGAGGAGGAGGAGGAGGAGGAGGGTCTGACCGCAGTTTGCAAAGTTCTGCGATTTGCAGGACTGCATTCAGAGACATAATGGACCGTGGTTCTGATTCAGGGGTTTAAAGTTTTATGATACCTCGGCGTCGAACGTTTGGAAGCTTCGGTTCCGGTCCATCACTAGCTTACAGCTAGCCGTCAGCAGCAGGTTCTGTGGAGACATGGCTGTTTTCAACCCCAGCGATCATCGGAACATGTCAAGTTTGTAGCTTTTGATAATTTCTCTGAAGTATGATGATTAAATGTCAGCTTGAGGTTTTAGTTAGCTAACGGGGACTGTAGCTTAGCATGCTAACGGTAGGATGCTAGTCTTTGGATAAAGCATTGAAACGTTTGCATTTTCTTTTTATACACATTAAGTTATAAACAGTTGCTTTAAAAGCTATTAGCATCAAGGCTGCTTGTTGTGTTTCGTGTTTTTGCTGGTTTTAACTGCTGAACCCCACAGCTAATGATTAGCATAAACAGCGTTAGCAGACGAACATGAAGTCAGTCAGATTCAGAGATGCTGATAATAATAAACCTGGTTTGGTCGTAGCTGAGAGTCATCCCCTTTACTCTGAACCAAAACCTTTGTTCTAAATTTTACCTGAATTAATTCTGTGTTTGTCTGACAGCAAATCATCTCATAAAGCAGCAGATGATGGTTTTAGGTTTTTACTTTGTTATAAGATACTGAGTTCAGATTAAGACAGGTTTGTATAAAGTACCATAAAGGGATACTTGAGTAAAAGTACAAGTATCTTACCAAAAACTTACTTCGGTAGAAATAAAGTCTCCTGTAGGAATATTACTTGAGTAAAAGTCTTAAAGTATGTGATATTTGTTGTAGTTAAGTATTAAAAGTCAAAGTGTAGATTTAAAATGAGCAGTTAGATTTTCTGTAAGGACATTTATTAGGAGGTGACCTCCCCAAAAACTGCAGAAATGACTGTTGTATTAAAAGAATGAATGGATGTTAAATTTAGGATGCACTAGTCCAGCTGTTTCAGTTTATATATATACGTACAGCGGGTAAAATGAGTATTGAACACATCACCATTTTTCTCAGTAAATATA